CTTGTTGATATCCCCTTCAATAGACTGTCAATATTCATGACCTTTCTTCTTAAACAAAAGTAGAGAGGCATCACTCTTGTTGATATCCACTTCAAGTCTATCACTATTGAAAAAAAAACCATATCAAAAGTAGTTTGATAATTCTGGCATCTATGCCTTATTCGTTTTTGTTATCTGTCATTCTTTCATGTTATGAATATTGTGTAGTGTTTGTTATTAACTAAAGCTCTCTTATCAAGTCTTTTAAATTTGAATCACACACATGACTAACTCTTATTGTGTCTCGATAATACAAACAAAGAAAAGAAGAAACAAAGATCAATATACGGGAAGAAACATTGGGACTTTGTAAATGTAACTTCTTGATTTCATTTTCCTTACATTCAACACATAATAAAAACATGAGATCTCCATTAGTAAGCATTACATAGAAAGAATACATAATATATCAAGAATTGATCAATAAAATTTGACTTGTAACAATATTAGTACCTAGTGCAATCTATAGGCAAAAAAGACTTTACTTTCCACAAGATCATATCCAATTTGGAAATATCTCTATGCCAACTTTCCAAATAAAACAATTCATCTACAAGGCAATATGTAAGACAAACCAAACCTTCCTCCACTTGTGCAAATGTCCTTGAAGGTGACGACTCTAAATCCTCATTTGTAAAATGTGCAAAAAATTGTTGGAGCACCGATTGTGACCAAGGGCGGATCTACATGTTATGGAGGGGGTACCACGCCACCTAGCGAACTCAGTTGAAACATTGGATCTAAAGATTTTATGAGTTATAGCTAATATATAGAACAAAATCTGATTTTAATTAAAATATGTATCGGAAAGGAACATACAAAGGACAAATTGTTTTCTGTTATGGCACAAAAAGGCTTTTATCACTAGAATTAGTTGGTGGAGTCAGTTAATATCGTGTGAATCAATGACTTACATATCAAATATTAAACTAATAAGAACATATACTACACTTGATCTTTGCTAAAAGGCCGAGAAAAGTATGCTTTTTTATGCGTTATGACGGGCTATTTTATATGTCACTTGTTGCATAAAATCTTTCTTTCTAGTCAGTGTGGGAGTAGAAGAGCTTCTATATGTTCAACTAGTAATCATCTTCTCTGGTTAATGTATAAAGCTAACTCAATTCTATTAATCGTCTATAATATAATATTAACCAAAGCGCAGTGAGTGAAACAATTTACCTTTTGTTGGTTGCAAAATAGTTTCAACAATTTTTCTTTCGGTATTTTATTAGATGTTTTTCGAGAATTGAGCACTATTAAAACTTAAGAAGAACTATGGTGAAATCAACTGTTGATTAGTTGTCATGTTAGTTTAATTCTTTGAGACTCAGAGAGCTTCCCAAATATTATTTCATCAATTTACCTACCTTTTGCTAAAAATCTAAAATTATGTTATAAGTGATTGAATCAGGAATGTTGTCACATAAGTTACAGGATTTATGCATGTGATCTAAAAGCTATTTTTTGATCGGTCTGACATCACAGGACACTTTTACAACTCTAAACACCAAAAGGGACTCTCTCTAAAAAGACACACCACACCAAAACAGATAGTTCGTTCATTAATGGGTGAACTATAACGACCATCCTTTTAACAGCGTCATCCACGTTAACTCCAAAATCATCCGAAACAATACTACACAAACTTTAAAGGTATCAGTTTATTAGCTCCTCACATGAATATATGTCTCTTTCTTCCTCACATGAAGCTATATCTTCTTCTTCAACAATAAATATGTGTTATTCACTCCACATTTTCTCATTCATCTTCTACTTTATAAAATATTGAGTATTGTAAAATGAAAACATCGAGGACTCCCAAGAAATCTTGATTGTAAGTTTTGGAGTTGTGCACGTTCAAATGAAAAAAATTAAGTTGTTCACTTCAAAATTATTTGGTATTCGGTTGCTTTTTGTTTTGTGATTTCAGGAAAATCATGGGTGCAATTATTTTTGGTGAGCAGAAAACATGTTCATAAAAAAGAAATGTAGACGTTCTGTTTTGCCTTAGTAGGACCAAGTTTTTTCTGTTAAAACAATTACAGTACGCTCATAACTCAACGAATCACAACATTTTTTTTTAAAAAAAAAGATTTGAGTTTGCCTCATTTCAGACAGACCTAATAAATTTTTGTTACAAAATTGTGGCTTAGTTCATGAACTGCAATTGAATATATGTTTTAAAAAATATGTGAGATCTTTGTTATTTTTCATATATAGTTACACTTATAGATCTAACGAAAAATTCATACAAATTAATTGTTTTTTTTTTTAAAAACAATACTCAATTGAAACTGCAATTGAGTATTGCTCTTCGAACTGCAATTTTCCATTGGGCAATGAGTCATATGTGCCACCTTTTTCATTCAATTTGATTGTAATACTCAAGATTTGAGAAATTCTGGAGTCAACAATACTAGGCGTCGTAGAAATGAAATGGATATTGCTTCAGGTCGCATGGCACAACGGTGTAGTTTAAGTAGGGATCTACTCATAAGAGCAATCGTTATTCCCATCGACCTCAGTAGTTTCTTACTAATATCATTATATTGATAAAAAGAGATCTACTACACTTAATCTTATGTTTCAATTTATTGATATCATATATTTTAGGGTTGGTACTTTGCCACTAATTATATAAAATAGAATTCTTATAACATCAAACACTAGAGATCTAGTAGTAGAATAGTACCCTGCCACGGTACAGCCTAGGTTTGTTTCCTGGATCGTGCATTATTCGAGTGCTGTAAATATAAATTGCGTAGCCTATGAGAACTTTGGGGTCCTCACCTTGTTTGATAACAGACGATAAAAAACAGTGCATCTGAGCCCTCTCTTTTTCCACTATTATTTTTAAATGTCGTTAGAGATTACAAGATGGGAGATTGAACTCACTAGTATTACACGTTATAGGTAACCATTATCTTCAGTAGTAGTACAGTATATCTTACTGAAAAAAAAAGGTGCCAAATGCTAGGTTGAAACGTTAGTCTAACTCTCAAGATTTTACAAGTTATAGCTAATATTAGTTCGTATATGATCTTAATTAAAATGTGCAACTTGGAATGGCATAGAGAGCTCTTATGTATCAAACTTCCCAAAATTATGTACTGCTATCAAATCAAAGGTTTTTAGAACTAGAATTGGTGAGATGAGTCAGGCCGAGGCAGTAGTGCAACACCAAGGTCATTCATGAAGGCCCCAATAACAAGCTACCATGGTGAACCTCCCCTTAAAAATAGAGTTAATATCGTGTGAGTCGATGACTCACATATCAGATATTAAGCTGATAAGAACAGATACAACACTTGATCTTGGTCAAAAGACCGAGAAAGGTATGGTTTTCCATGTGTTATGCAGCGCTATTTTATATGTTACTTGTTACATAAAATCTATCTTTCCAGTCAGTATGGGACTAGAAGAGCTTCTAATACTAAATAGTAACCATCTTCTCTGATTTTATAGATTAAACTAATTCAATTCCATTAATCATCTATAATTCCATCGATCAAAGAGAAGTGAATGAAACAATTTACGTTTTGTTGGCTGCAAAATAGTTTCAACAATGTTGCTGAAATTTTCTAAGTATCAACTATAAATATGGCTTATAAAAGTCTTCTGGATAGAACAAGTTTACCTAAGGTTCATACTCCAAAATAAAATAGAAAACAAGAAATGTAAATTTCAATTTGTTGACATAACATTTTCCACCACAATGTATCAATCTTGGTCCAAAAATGTTAAAGGTTAGTTAATAATAACTTTACAAAAATCCTAAGTACTAATATCTTTGTCCTAGATCTCGAAGAGACTCCTTCAACAAACAATTGAAAGAAAGGTTTTATAATTAGAATTGGTGGGGTGCGCCAATCCAAGGCAAGTAATGCAACACCTAGGCGACGTTTAAATGTCCTGATAGAAAGCTACCGTGGTAGACCTTTCCCTCATATTCCTTTGTTGTGAACAGATGTTTAAGAAACACAAATTATTTTTCATAAATCTTTGAAGATTTGTCAATTAATAACACTAATTGAATCTTTTGAGGATGACCTTTTATAGTTCCCAAAAAATTGAAAAGTGAGAATGTAAAGTAATCTTTACAATTAAATTTACAGTAGTGCAATGACAAAGGACGCTTGAAGGTCCCGAATCCCAATAGCAAGCTAATGTATGGACATCTTCTAAAAAATAGAGTTAACGTATTATATTGAGATGAACAGATATTATACTTGATCTTATATTAGAGGTGTTACTTTGCGAGTACGTAGGTAAAATGGTATTTTCAAAACATCAAGTACCAGTGGTCTAGTGGTAGAATAGTACCCTGCCACAGTACAGACCCGGGTTCGATTCCCGGCTGATGAATTGTCTGAGTGCTGTGAAGATAAATTGCACAGGGTCCTTACCTTGTCTGATAATAGATGACAAAATTGTTGTTTTTCCATTATTATTTTTAATGTTGTTGGAGATTATAAGATGGAAAATCAAATTATTTTATATTGGATCATCATACTGAATGTGGTAAAACTATATATAGGGTCACCATTTAGTTAAGTAACTGATTTTAGTTTAAAAAATGTTACTTGGAATGAGAAATAGAGAAGGCGACATGGTGGATCAAATTTCCCAATATTAGAAGGGACAAATTGTGTACTATTATGAAACAAAAGTTTTTAGAGTTGAGCCTCTATCTTTCCTCTTTTTCCGTTATTATTTTTAATGTTGTTGGAGATTACAAGATGAAAAATCAAATTCGGTCCGATTATATATCGGATCATCATACTGAATGTGGTAAAACTATATATAGGGTCACCATTTAGTTAAGTAATTGATTTTAGTTAAAAAAATGTTACTTGGAATGAGAAATAGAGAAGGCGACTTGGTGGATCAAATTTCCCAATATTAGAAGGGACAAATTGTGTACTATTATGAAACAAAAGTTTTTAGAGTTAGACTTGGTGGGGAGAGCTAGGCCAAGACAATAGTGCAACATCAAGGCGACTCTTGAAGGTCATGTTAGCAAGCTACCGTGGTGAACCTCTCCCCTTAAAAAATAGAGTTAATATTGGGTGAGTCAATGACTCACATTCATATATTAAACTGATAAGAATAAATACTATACTTGATCTTAGTCAAAAAAGCGAGAAATGTATGATTTTCTATGTGATTCGTTGGGCTATTTTATATGCCATTTAATTTGCGACATGAAGTTTTGAAAACATTGGTTACAAATTTTTAGATAGCTAAAGAAGTTTAACTACTAATGATAATAATACAGATATTTAGCTTATTCCTTTTTCTCTTTTTTCTTTGCCATTTCAGATTGTGATGATATCAGTATACTTTCATTTTTTCCTTAAAAAAATATTAATTTAATCTTAATTGATGGAACTTATTATTAAGGTAGCAATATCATTTTTCTAATGAATCTCACGAAATCATGAATTGAAAAACCTACATGAGGACCCATTTGGTAGAATGTGAAGACAAGTTGTTGGAGTTGGACTCGGCCTCTTCCGTTTCTCTTGTTGATGCTTGTGAAAAGGATTCAACTACTAAATCGACTTTCACAAATTTCAATGAATCACCTTACTGGAAGTTTAGATATATTAGAGATATAATTAGAAGCCTAGACTTGGTAACGGGAAGATTTATGTTGAGTGAGACTCATAGTGTTATTCTCCTTGATCTCTTTGACCAGTTGGAGAATCAGAAGGCTCGAACTAATCATGCAGAAGAAAAGGTGAAGATTAGGAGAACAGTATTGTTTAACTCGGTAGTTGAATGTCTAGAGTTCAGTTGATTGTAAATTGAGTTTTGGCAGAGGTTTTGAAGCTTGGACAAAGTGGACAACCACTTCTTCCTTTTGATCAATGTAGTCCATTTTGGCCAAGCTTCAAAACCTCTGTCAAAACTATGTTTACATCTGAATGCTAGACATTCAACCTCCTAATTAAACAACATTTTTCTCCATATTTCACTTGCTCTTTTTTATTCTTATTAATTCAAGCCTTCTCATTCTCTAAGTGGTAAAAGAGATCAAGAGCAATAATACTCTGAGCCTCACTCAACACAAATCCTGCCATTACAAATTTAAGCTTCTAATATATCTAAAATTTCAATAAGGTGATTAATTGAAATTTATGCGAGCCAATGTAGTAGTTAAATCATTTTCATTAGGATTAACAAGAGAAACGGAAGAGGTTGTATTTCACAACCCCGAATCACCTTCCACCAAATAGGTAATCATGTAGGCTTTTCAATTTATAATTTCGTGAGATTCACCAAACAAATAGATGATACTTGATCGCTGAATCTTAAATTTCATTACTCGAGATTTAATTGATATATTTTCAGGGGAAACTGAAGTATATTGATAATGACAACATTCAGTTCTTCATTCAATGTAATGACTTGACAACTTTAAAGTCCATAAGCAATTACTACACTGATCTTATGAGGAAGTGTATCACCTAATTTTTATGAATCTCTTATAATTTTGAGTTAAACAAACCTTATGAAATGCCCTTTCTTTAACATTTCTATTTTGCAAATTCGACTACCTTCTTCCTATAATTAATTAATTGAAGAAACCCTATACAACAAATTTAGAGAACAATGACTATAAAGGCATAAAACAAGTAGTCAATATAAGCGTAGAAACAAATTTGACGAAAGAGTGGACACTTAACCGAACGAATTAAACATATATCATCACACTCTTAAACAGGAGAAAAAAATAGAATGAAACTAAGTATTAGTATTATTACCATCAGTAGTTAAACTTTTGTAGTTATCCAAAGAGTTGCAACTGTCTCTTGAAATAGAAGATTCCAAACTTGAGGTCAGCCAAGAACAATGGAGTCTGAATTCTTTTTCACATGTAATGCTGCTCGCAGTTTTAGGATTTTCTACTCTATTTGGGATCCTGAAATTGATGCAAATAAGATTAGCCTAGCTAGTACATTATCCTTTTAATCCTTTCTAAGAAAATGTAGTATAGTAATAAAATTGAAATAGGAATTCAACAACTGCAATAATACCTGAATCTGGAATTAGTTGGATTTTGCATATAAAATCTCAACATTAATTATGTTTCATCTCCGCCATATTTCCCAATACTTAATAATTGTAGTACGCCTTCAAACAAAAAGTAGAGTCAATTAAGAAATGAAATAATGAAAAAGCCAGATGGCTAAAAATGAATCTTTCACAGTCGATTGAGAAACTATTCAATGAAGAAGTTAGATTGCTAAAAAAAAGAACTTTTGAAAGTTAATCTCAACAGCAATAACAATAGCACCAACATCAAGGTAGGGGATGTTAATCCCTCATAACCAAAGGGGGGAGAAGCTACAGTTAGGGAGCACAAGATAGAATATCTCCGTAGAGGCGATGATGACAAGGAGAATTCTTTTATATTCAATTGGTCTGACCACTTTTGGGCCGACCAGCTCTTTTTTTTTTGTATATTTATATGTGGACCTGTTTAGGTGCCCATTCTTTTATTAAATATAATGAACCATGAGTCCAAGCTCAAACTTAAAAAGGAAGATATTGGTAGTTTTCCATGTCAATTATGGTTTTCGGTCCATTCGACAACTATACTTGATTTGTTTTGTTTCACCTTCGAGATCAAACCAACCCGACATTATATATATGATTTTTACAATTATAATTTGTTATACATAAAAGTATTTATTTCTTTTAATTTTTAAAATATTTCTTATATATTTTCATAGTTTTTTTTTTATCTTTTATCATATTATTTCTACTTTTTGAGACTTTAATTTTGAATGGTCCAATCAAGATTATAGTCCATAGATATTAGTAACTCTAACAAAACTCAAATTAAAATCAAATCAATACTAGTGCTAAAAAAAGTTACTTTAACACTTAAAATGATAATAATATTTGTTCTTTAGTTTTACACAAGTGAACTCATCCCCGCTTCGCGAGATCATGCAAAATATAAATAATACACTAAATATTATTAAAATAGAGGTATTATATATATAATAATGTCTTTATCTTATATTTTGTGGGTGTGCGTGTGCGTTTGTGTGCATATGCATGTGCATGCATGTGTGTGTGAATTTTAATTGAATATTTTAAATACTTTTTTAGGGTTTCTTCTTATATGAAAATAATATAAAATAAAATAATTATATTATACATGATTACCTTCCTATAAATGTGTAGATGTATAATTTGGTTCCATAGGAAAAAACATTATCTTTTTACATGTAGTTATCTTTTTTAGAAGTGAAGGAACATTCTTGTAATTTATAATGATTTCAAAATGAATTAATAACATAAATATACAATTTTCAAATAAAAAAAAATCAACAGAAGAAGAAGAAATAAATAAATATACTTTGGAAAAAGATTATGTTATAAAGTATTTGTATTATAGTGAATGTCTATCATGTGGAGTCCTTTTTAGGATATTGTTAAAGAGTCCTACTTGGGGACCAAGTTTGATTTCTCCTATAAATAGAGTGCTTTTCTTCATTGTAAATTGATTCATCAAGAGAAATAACAAGTCTTCTCTTCTTTTCTCTCTAGTTTCTTCTTCTTATTCTATAGTTTTTCAACACGTAATCAGTACGAGACTCTAATTTCTCAAAAGTTAAGGTTAGATTTGAAGAATTAATAAAGGTATTATTTATTCTTTTATTTTTAATTTTAATGACCAATCTTACAAAACTAGAGTTCACTACCCTTCAAAGTTCGGGCAGGAACTACCTCCTATGGGTGTTGGATGCTGAAATCCACCTTGATGCAATGGGTCTTGGAGACACCATAAAAGAAGAAAATAAGGCATCAAATCAAAACTGTGCACGAGCAATGATATTCTTGCGTCATCATCTTGACGAGATTTTGAAAATCAAATATCTGACAGTTAAGGATCCACTTCTTTTGTGAAAAAACCTAAAATAAAGATTTGACCACTTGAAGATGGTCACACATCCAAAGGCACGATATGATTGGATGCATCTAAGGCTACAAGACTTTAAGTCTATACATGAGTACATTTCTGCCATGTTCAGAATCACTTTGCAATTGAAATTATGTGGAGAAACGGTCTACTTTCCATGCCTCAAACGTGCTCTTGCAGCAACAATATCGAGAGAAAGGTTTAAAAAAGTATTCTGAACTTATTTCTCATCTTCTTGTGGCCAAACAAAATAATGATTTATTATTGAAAAATCATGAGAATCGACCTACTGGATTTGAACCACTTCCTGAAGTGAATGAGGCGTACGCGCACCATGCTAGGCGTGGGAAAGGTCGCGGTCCTAATCGTTGTCGTAGATGTGGTCGTGGACATGGACGTGGTCGTGATTATGGTCAAGAACGTAATTCTATTCCTGACATTAATCATTCATCAAATAAAAAAGAAAAAGAAAGGATGAGAAACGTGAAGCAACTAGGGAAGGTTGTTTTATATGTGGTGGAAGAGGTCATTATGCACGTGATTGTCGTACTCCCAAACACTTGGTTGAGCTTTATCAAGAATCACTAAAGAAGAAAGAGAAAAATCCTGAGGCAAATTTTATCTTTGAAAATCAAGTTGACATCACACACTTGGATGTAACAGATTTCTTCGCACATCCTGAAGGAAAAATAGATCACTTAATTGGTGATGGTTCTGTGAACATGGAAGAGTGATATTTTTTTTGGTAGTATTTATTAATAAATTTCATGTAATGATAGTTGTTTGCATGAGTATTAGTATTTTAAATTAGTTTAGTCGTTTATTAGCTTGTTCCTTAATCCTTAATTAAATAATATATATTTTTCATTAATTTATTTATATGATTCTAATATGATAGAGTTAGTCAAATACTAAATTTTATCACGTGTTTGTATTATATTAGGTCTTTAACTTGGTCTAATGTTAAAAAAAACATAAATTCTAATATTAACTAGGATTTATCATGTGTTTGTATTATATTAGGTCTTTAATTTGATCTAATGTTAAAAACATGCAGTCTGTTATTAACTAGGATTCAATAATGATTTTATTTTATTTTCCTAACAACTCATTTTTGACTTAGAGGGAACAATAAATTAAAGCTTAATTTCTAATATTTAATTATTAATTTATTCCTTTGAATATGTAGTACCTTTTTTACAACACTAATAT